GAATTATGATACAAAAAATACATATTAAACATCACACCAGAAATCTAAAAGCTTTAAAAATTTGTAAGAATATTGAAAAAAAAAATAGAAAAATAGCCTAAGAGCTTAACATGAAGTAAGACGTATAAACATTATTGTCTTCACCTTCTACAGTTTTTTTTCGAGATTCGCAGTTTTTCTGTTAAAATTGAAGGCAGAATGTAATCAATTAAATATCTGGAGAATTATTTTTTTTAATATTATGAAGAAATAACTTTACGATATCATTTAACTTTTCTCTTGATTATTTCAACCAAAAAAATACGATTTGATAATTTGCCCACTTACACCAAAATAATGTGTGATTTTAAGAATATTTAAATTTTAACAATTTCAAATAATACAAGAAAAAAGGAAAACAAAACAGATATTTAGTATAACAAAGAATGTTACAAATTCGTTTACTTTAATCGGTATTTAATCTGGAGTCAGATTTTCATCCCAGTTTGTACATATTTAAGCCGTTTTGGTCAAATGTAATTCCAAAAATTGCCAAGTCAAGTCTAGCATTTAGCACCGTGTTAAATAACTCGAGTAGGTTTTGGAATATTGTGATGAAATTTTTTCGACGGGTTTACCAACTATTCGAGAAGCTTTGAGCCAAATTTGAATAATTTCTGTCGGCTAGCAGCTTTTCTACAGCTCTTTGAATATCTCAAAATTGACTAAAAGTGGTTTTAACACTTAACACCTCTTTTAAATCAAGAAAACCTTGAGATATTTTAATGAAACTTTTCTAGGAGCTTTATTGAGTGTTTAGTAACATTTAAGTGAAATTTGACCCAATTGTGTTGACTAGAAACTCCCCTAGAGTCTCAAAATTGACCAAGTTTTATTCAAAATATTTTTTTTCAAAGAATGTAATTAATAAGCCGTTTTTTACTAATTTCGTCAAATTATAATTAATAAACAACTTTAGTTTTTTAAATTTTATTTTAAATGATTATTTTGTAAGAGTTTCTAAATGACAATTTTAATTCTGAATTGTTGAAATTGCTTCTTCTCGGTTTTCTATTAGAACTGAAAAAAAATCCAAAACAGTTATTTTAAGAAATTTGAAAACAAACCGAAAAATTGTCAACAATTTTGAAAATTTGGATAATACAAAATAAAACATAAAAATATGGAATTTTATTGTTTAGTTTTAAAGACAGTGGAGTTATATTTAGGATTTTTTAAATTATCTACAGTCTGAATTAATGGAAGAAGCGAGGAATCACTTTCACTCAAAGTACAATACAAAAATTGTAGTGTAACAATCTTGACATGATTGAAACCTTTGAAAGCAATTTAAAAAAATCTTAATTAAAAATTGAATCAGAATGTGAAGAAATATGACGAAATAACTTTTGTTTGATAAACAATATAGAAAAAACAACAAATTAAAAAACATGTAGGCAGTTAGCAAAAAATAGGTTTTATTCATTTTTCTTTTCATTTATTTGTAGCAGGTTTTTCAGAATGTGGTTCATCTCTCCCAGACTTCCCGTAACTAGGTTGCAAAAATTGATTTCTCCTTTAAAAGTCAAGTGAACAAAGCTTGGAATCATTTATGCAATGAGAAACATATTGAATCGAAGGCTTTACATTTATCTTCAGCTGAATTCCAAATATATAGTCGGCCTCCATCAGTCTTTGTTCGATTTTATTATCGCTGGAAAGAGAAACAATGAATACAATAAGTTAGGCAATAAAATCTACACAGTTACCTATAAAACCGGATTTGTTCGTAGAGGGTTACCAGACGCATTCCCTAACGGATTTCTCCGAGAAAAATTTACAACTATTGAATTTTCACGTGTTGTATTAATTATTGTGAAATATTTTGAGTACTTTATCCCAACTTGTAAATTCTAAAGCATGCAAATGGGCTAGGAAGTGAACGAAGAAGATTAAAGGGACAACTGGTCCCTTCTTTACGTAACTCTATTTTCAGCATGAGTTTATCCTGCTCAATGCCTTGTCCCTTTTCCTTCAAAGTAAGACACTCTAATAACTAGTAGGAAAAAGTGTTGTGTTTTTATTTACAGAAATAGATCGCATTGGGGCGGGAATTGCGCATTCGAGTGTGAATAAAGATAAAGAATAAATAAAGTCTAAATAAATGTAAAGCAAGAGACATGACGTTTTCACAAAGGAGATTTGATTTGGTTTCATTTACTTTCTTGGCGATATCTGCCACAAAAGCTCAGAGCTTCCACTTAAACTAGTTGCTATTCAAAGACTTCCTCTTTCTGTGATGTATGCGCGATTTTTGTAGAAATTCATTTAACTGAGTACTTGTCGAAATTTGCATTTTTAACTGTTCAAAAGAATCGGCTTGAAATTGTTTAATGCGGACATCAAATGACACCGCTTAGTAAATTATGTATGTGGGAGGAAATTTCAGACCTGGCTTTTTCATTAATGGAAAAATGACAGGTTGTTAAAGCTTTCGCTCTGCAACCTGGGAAATTTGGTCATCAAACATTAACGCTGTGAGCTGGTACGAAAATAATACAAAAATAATATAATAATATATAATTTATTTTCGACAGTCAGAGGACAAAAGAAATGGACTAGTAAGTTAACATAGGAAAAATAATGACACATAAGGTAAAGAAGAATTAATTACAGAAAAAAAAATCATTAAGAGAAGTAAATAAAAAGTTTGATCTCTACTGATGTGGAGTGAAATTTTTTGTATTCCTCGTGCAAAAATAACGTTTTTGAGCAATATGCTGTTTCTTTTAACAAAATTATTTGAAACAAGCTATTACAAGTAATTGAAATTTTTTGATGAAATTTACTTCAAAAAGTTGAACACAACAAGCCACGAAAACGTTAATTTTGACTTAATTTTTCATATTCGTAGAAAAATAGACGATAAAATTGAATTTCATCTATTAGAGCAATTTAGCGTCGAGGCGTCAGCCGAGACGCTAATATGCTCGAAACGAAAATGAAAATTTTATCATCGTGTACAATATAAAATTTTATTCAATCCTCACTGAATTTGGTCGATATTCATAAATGTGAATGTAAAATTCAACAATGAAATGTAATGTCAAAGATTGTTAGCACCTAACAACCGCAGATATACAACAATGAATGTATTTTTTATTATCTAGGAGAATATTTCATTTCATTTAACATGAAGAAAAGAGTAGATAAAATTTAATTTTAACATAGAGGAATGAATAAAAAACATTTTCTCGCTTAAAAATGTTTTAAGGTTTGTTTTGACAAAATCTCACAAAGTGATGCTCAAAATTGAGTCAAATGTGGCTTAATAATTTTTTTTGGCTTTTCTTGAAGAAATTTTACGAAATAATTTTCCAATTCTTCCAACCCCGAAAATTAACAAGCCAAAATAACATTTTATTTGTAATTTTTTTTTAAAATCTTATGAAATTAGTAACTTTCTCACTTAAAATTGAGTGAAACAAGTTACATAAAGCTAATTTTGATTTTTCTAACAAATTTTTAGAAAATAAGTGGCTTCCTAGCTCAAAATAAGCGAGCTAGATCACAAAGTAACGTTAATTTTTAAGGTCTTTGATGATTTTTGGGCTTGTGTTATTGTAAAAAAGTGATTTACTCGTGTAAAAGTTAATTAAGTTGAGCAACACGAGCCAAAATAACGTGAATTTCGACCCAATTCGTCTTATTTCTGGCTCAAAAACTATTTAGAAAGTCAATTTTACTCTAATTAAGTAATTTATGGCTTTTCTTGATGAAATATAATGAAATAAGGTTGTTTTTCGTTCGAAAATCGAACAAAACAAAAAAAACGTTAATTTTCATAGTCTTCTGTTTATAGTTTTCTAAAAAAATTCAAAAGATGAAGACAGATTCTTGCTTAAAAATAAACAAAGTTACTCAAAATAGGCCAATTCAAAATTAATTTTGATTTGACGATATTTTTAGATTTTCTTGGCAAAATGGGTAAGTTTTTCGTACAAACACGAGTTTCATATATTAAAACCGTGCAAGTATTTGCTTTTTTTGACGAAATTTTGCTTAAATACGAGTTAAATTTTTCGAAATAACATCAAAAATTTTGTGAAACAGTTATTACAGAGTAATTGAGATTTTTTAATGAAATTTTACTTTTCGTTCGAAAAGTTAAGACAAAAAAACGTCAATTCTTATTCATATTCTTACAAAAAAAAAAAACATTTTCTCGCTTAATGTCTATTTAAGGCTTGTTTTGCAAAGTCTTACCAAAACTTGACTTACTTAAATCAGAGAAGAAAAAATATAAAGTAACAGAAAGGCGATAACAAATTTCGAAATAGAATTTAACAAAAATAAATAAATTATTTGTGTTTAAAAAATCTGAAAAATTATTAATTATGGTTTCAGGATAAAAAAGGTTAAATTTGTAGTTTTAGGACCGGCGTTTTAGGATTGTGTACAAACTCCATTTCATCTGAAACGTTTAAAATTTAAGAACCAAAAAGTCATTTTACTATATCTTTCGATTTTTGTCAAAAAACCCGATTACTTGCAACGTTTCAATAATTGTGTTTGATTTGCTTACAGTGGTTTATATTTCTGGAAATAAAACGGCTGGTTGAAGAGTTTTTTTAGCAAAACCCCAAACTCGCCACAAATCCGCATTTGTGTGTTGACTTACACATAAAAATTTAATGAGTGCCTCAATCAAAAGCTTTTGTCTGGTTTAAAACACTGCATCGAATTCCCATCCACTCCCAACAATTAATTTGATTTAATTTTCTCATTCTTTTGAGCATAATAAGGAATTTAGTGTGAAGCAAGATAAACAAGAAATTGATTGATGTTTGGAATTACAAAAAATGTGTTTAACGTTTCTGTTTGAGTAAACACTGATCCATACGTTGTTGTTTGTTGAAAACGCGGAATTTGGGAAATAGTTTGGAATGAATGAAATTTGATGCGGAAAGTGTTTTAATTGACCGAAAAAATGTGGGCTTTATTTCAAAATTGTGTTCCAGGTGGCCTCTCGTTGCATTTGCTGGAGCTTCGAGTCCCTAGTCCTGTGGTGAGGAACCAGGACGTCCGTCTTGAGTGCCACTTCGACTTGGACGACGAGGTCCTATATTCCGTAAAGTGGTATAAGGACGGCAATGAGTTCTATCGCTATGTACCCCGAGACATGCCACCTGCTCAAGTCTTCCATCTTCCGGGCATCAAGGTCGATGTAAGGCTTTAATTGATAACGAGAGTTGAAATTTTCAAGAGATCTTTGTGTTTATTCACATGTGATGATGCCGGGGTTGGTTTTAACGATTGTAATTTAGAACGTAGTTGCTGCATCTTCTTCAAAGCCGAATAAATTACACGGGATAATGTTTTTCGTATCACATTTCGCTGCTCGAATAACTCACATGTGTTACATGTAAATTTTCGTAAATGAGGTTAACTGGGCTATTATTTGATGAGGAGTAGCGCGCTACTACACCAAATTTTCAGAAATAATTTAAAACAAATGTTTTCATTTAGAAATCAATGTCACAATTTTACCTAACATTTCAGAGTGTTTATTATGTTCCGGAACATTTTGTTGTAAGTGGATCTAGAAGATTAACAATATATAATTAATAAAGGGCATTAATAACAATAATACATTTATTGTTCAACAGAATACAACACAAGTTGTATTCCAGTAACAGAAAACAAACAAACAAACATAAATAAATGAATAAACAATTATGTGACAAAAGAAAAAAAATAAATCAAAAATAAAGATATAAAGTATAACAAAAATAATGAAATATAATGTTCATGCATATTTAAGAACAATAATGAAGTAAGTTATTTAAGAAACAATGAAAGATATCACAGTTTGCACATTAAAAGGACTTAATACTTTAGCGCCCTAAACATATTTTTTCAATATGCAAAAAAGTTAAAATAAATTAAGTCCAAGGTGTAAATTATTGTTCAATGCATTTAACTTAACTTAATAATGAAATTTTTTTAATAATATAATTAGTAAGTGGTAAAGCTGTCTTCCGGAAAATTTTCAGCATTTTGCTGAAGATTTCTGTAATAGTCCTGATCAGTGTTGTCGGCTCAAAACAATTAAATTCACCAGATCTGAGCTGAAAAGTTACCAGATACTATTTTCACCAGATTTTTAGATTTATTTTTGTTGTGTTTAAGCATGTTTTGACAATATCCTGCACAATAAGTGAGTCTCTAAACTAAATCGAGCGAGACACGCTAAAATTTCAATCTAATTTGGGAATTTTTCAGTCAGTTTTAGCAAAAATTTGAATGTACGTATTTTAAAAGTGTGCTGAAGCACTTTAAAAATGCAAAAATAACACTAGTTTAGGCCTAATTTGATAAATTTTCGGTTTGTTTTAAACAAAATTTTGCAAAATAGTTCTGTTTCTGGTTAAAAACATACTAAAACGCTGGAAATAATGTACTTTTTGACCTATTTTAGCAATTTTTTTAGCTTGTTGAGTGAAATATTATTTAGAAAAACAATCTATCTCTCGATTTTTCAACTTGTTTTTGAGAAAATTTAGCATTTGGGTGTCTGCATGGCTCAAACAACGTGCAAAATGCTCAAAAAATTACAAAAAAAATAGTGTCATCATTCTTGACTGAATTTACTACATAAATAATTAAAAAATCAAATTAAAAAAGTTAATTTTACTAACATTTGGGCGAATACTCGATTTAAAAAAATTATTTCAAAATACACTAATTTTCTGCTGTATCAACATTCACGTTTCTAAAAAAATATCAGAAATTAGAACTTTTACAAAAATTTTCACCAAATCATTAAACTGTTATAAAAATCACCAGATCTGGTGAAATTTCACCAATATTCTGCAAAATAATTGAGTCTCTGGTTCAAATACGAACTAAATCGAGCGAGACACGCTATAATGATATCAATTTCAATCTAATCATTTGCTAATTTCTTAGTCGGTTTTAGCAAAAATTTGAATGTATTTTAAAAACGTGCTGAAGGACTGTAAAAATGCAAAAATAACACTAGTTTTGGTCTAATTTGATAAATTTTCGTTTATTTTTAACGAAATTTTGCAAAATAAGTTCTGTTTCTGGTTAAAAACATACAAAAACGCTCAAAATAATGTACTTTTTGACCCATTTTAGCGATTTTTTTACCTTGTTGAGTGAAATATCATYWWAAAAAAATCTCTYTYGATTTTTCAACTWGTTTTTGAGAAAATTTAGCATTTGAGGGTCTACATGGCTAAAACAACTTTAAAAAAAAATACAAAAAAAAAACAGTGTGATCATTCTTGACTGAATTTATTACATAAATAATTAAAAAATCTAATTAAAAAAGTTAATTTTACTAATATTTGGGCGAATACTCGAAAAAAAATATTTCAAAATACATTAATTTTCTGCTGGAACTACAGTCACGTTTCTAAAAAATCATCGGAAATTAGAATTTTTAAAGTTTTCACCAAATCATTAAACTTGTATAAAAATTACCAGACCTGGCAACACTGGTCCTGATTTTCCTCCGGTTATCGTATTTTGATTTACTGATGGGTTTTCGTTACTTTCTAAGTTAAAGGAGTGATTATGACAAATTTAAAGATTTTCTTGCTTTTCTTCCTAATTTGAAATTTAAAATTTTCTGTGAAATTTGTATTAAAATATAATTTTCCTATGTCTGTTAATTAAATCCAAAAAAATCATATACTTCAATCGCTACCAAAGTTCAAAAAGTCTTCTAATTTGTCTTTCATATGTATTTGTACATTATCTTGAATTTTTACTACTTTGTCGCTTTTTAACATTACCCATTTTAACATCTGTTATTTTGTTAATTAATGCTAATTGCAAAATTTTATGCATTGTTTCAATTAGAAGGTGAATTAAATATTTACTTTAAAACTACAATATATTTAAAAAAAAAATGATTGGGCTGTTGTCGCTCTCAGGTGCAGATTTATTTCTTACAAACGAGAAAAAACAGTTTTTATTTTTCTAATTCTTTTTACCCAAAAATGTATGAAAACAACAAAGTTGATTGAGACGCGTTTATTCCGAGTAAATAATGAAAAACTTCCCAACATTAAAAGTGTCGACTTTTTATTTTTAACAAGCGTTTGCCTATAAATCAAGTTTAAATTCCTCAGCGCTGGTGGCTTGGAAGATTGACAGACACATCCTATATTTACCGAAAGTTGAATGCGAGTTGAAAAATAAGCATTTGTTACATAGTGCTGATAAAGTTTAACAAGGCACGTGGAAACTGACAATTTTATTTCAATTAATTGTAATTTTAAACAAACGTTTTCGCAAATGGAGATTTCAAAGCAATTAGTGTATAGTGTGTAATTTGAGTTTGTTCGCATGTAATTTGCAGAATTCAATTCTACCGAGGATGAGAAACAATGTCGGAGGTGAATTAATAAACAAAAAAAGCGGTATTGATAAATTATTTCATGGGTCACCTTATACAGAATATTCATTATTGACATTTAATTTTTTTAATTTAAAAAAATGTATATAGAAAATCGATAAATACTAATGCATCGCCTGAAATTATTTTCAACTATACAGCGTGCCCCAGAAATAAGTTACAATACTTCTGGATGTAGCTTTTTATTTTTATTCGATTTTGCTTAGCCTTTGAATTATTTTGTTTTTTTGACGAAAACATTTTATTTTAAAAATGGGCCTATCAATTGCCTATATCATTTTTTTTTATTTGGGACACCCTGTACGTGAGTCACGGCATTTGCAAATTAATCCTCGTACACGTTTTCAATTACATTATTTATTAAAGGTGGTGTCTCAGCAAAACCTGCAAAGAGAATATTGTGAGATCGTTTTTGATTCCGTTGCATCAGCATCATTGATCTTAATGGTGCTTCTTAGAAAGTTCTAAGAGTAAAGCAATTTCTCTGTATGTTGTTTATTGTTTGTCGTTTGCATTAATGCCTCCTCAAACAGTCTCAATTGGCAAATAATACTCAAGAAGAGTTGATAAATTATGGCTCAATTTTTTAAATTTGCCCGGGGTCTTGAAATTTTAATAAGTTATGATATTACTCGCCAAGCCATTAAACACTTACATCGCACGAAACCTGGTTATGCCGCAGAAAAGTTTTGTAATTTACATAAATTTCCACTAACACCATGTTTACTGAATTACACGATATAAACGTAACAAAAATAAAAGTTAAGTAGAATGGGAAAGGGTCAATCTTTTTTGTTAGACTGTTCCATTATCAACGCGGTATTAATATTTCATACGAGACGTCATAAATTTTAGTCAAGCATTTCAATATGTTTTGCCCTGCAAGAAAACTCATTTATATTACATGGTAAAAGTGTTTAACAATACAAATACACATCGAAAAAGCATACACTGCCATATTTATTTACGTTATCGACTTACGGACACAATGAAATAATTCAACTTCAATTTTGTATCCCAGAGAAAAATTTTACTTTTCAGCCATGGAGTAAAAATTTTATTTATTTCAGTGTTTTCACTTTTACCATGACATTATTTATTGATTCTTTCACTGATTCAGCAATTTCTTGAAGGGTATCTTGTAGATCATTATTCAAAATTTTTGCACTACTAACTGCACTAAACACTTTCGAAGAATTGAACATTTGCAACACTTGCAAAGTGTTCTGATTATTTTGTTTATTTACTTGCTAATCATATGTTACTTTTTACTTTTGATCTAAATAGTTTGGAATAAAAGTGAGTTTATGTGACGCAGCTGAATGAAATTAACGTTCAGCTTTGCCAGATAATCTATCACTTTTACTCCTAATAACATAATATACTATTTTTTTGAAACAAGGTTGTGGATGGCATTTTGACACTCATTTCTATTTTCACACATTTAACACATCTCTATTTTGCACTTCTAAATTATCCACAACCATTTACACAGTCTTTCCATAAAAAAACAGTGGAGTTTACATAAGCACAATATTTATTTACCATCATATACAGGTGTCCCAGCGAGTTGAAAAAGTTCATTAGTGACCTTTAAATCGTGAAATTAAAAAAATATATATATAGGACATTGATAGTCTAGTCTATCGCCTAAAATTATTTTCAACTATACAACGTGTCTCAAAAATAAGTTACAATACAAACTTGTGTTTTTTTTAATGAAACACTATACCAGGTGAATAAAAAGTATGGAACCAAACGTTTTTTGCTTAAAC